ATATATATATATATATATATATATATATATATATATATATATATATGAAACCCCAGTCATGAGACTTGAATGAGGGAAAAGCAGAAATTGATTTCAGTGGGAGGGATAAAAAATTGTTAGAAAAGTCAGGTCGTGTGCTTTCTCAGCTGGTTTTGGGTGGGGTGAACGTGGACTAGACCAGGTACCTGCATGGGGCACTTTCCTTTGTTGGAAAGTGGGTTTGGGGAGGCTGTTCTCAGCTTCACACACATTATGTCATCACCGTCTTCTGTTTGTCCATGGATTGATATCAAATACTTTTGGAGAGAAATATTTTTCTTTTATTAACCACAGTCTTGGGCCAGGGAAAGTAAAGACTGAATAAAAATGCTTTTTGTCTGCTTGTTTCTCTATAATTTGTGTTATAGGATCAAGCTGAGGGCAAATGAAGAGCATTTTTCACCCAAATTATAACTCAATCTGAAAGTTTTTTGCTTTTGTATGTAGTTTCATCTTTGAACTTAATTTTCAGCTGGTGGAAGGAGTTAGAAACCTGAGCAATTCCGGCTCAATATCAGTGACAGAAGCAGGTACACATCCTCTCACAAAGAAAAACCAGAGGTCCCAGCTGTTGTTAATGGTCACTGAGTGGGAATCTTTGTGGGTCTTCTAGACATGATGAGCAAGGGTGCTCTGGATGCTTTAAATGATGTGTATGTGCCTCTGCTATTAGGTGTCCTGTGGCCTGAACCCACAAGATGCCAAGTGAAGAGCCTCCCTCCATCTACGGGTACCCCAAGAGAGGGCATGGCCACTCCTACATCACTGCTGGAGGGTAAGTTCAAACTTGGGCCCAGTGGGGTTGCCGTTTGCTGACATAACCTGACTCCGACTGCCATATGCGTGTCCATAATTCTCTCTAGTGTTCATTTCTGCAGAGGGTAAAAACCACGGCAATGAGGTGAGGAGATGCTGTGGTCCCACAAAGGGCTCACAAAAGTGCCACTGAAGTCCAACAAGCAAGGAAATATGAATGGTCAAAAAAAGTTGGATCCGGCCATTTTTGCCTGCATTCTTGGCTGTTAGGGCTTTGCTTTATGTTCCCAGGCTGAAATATCTCTGTCTGGGCGCAAGCTCCCTTTCCTTAAGCTGTGTTCTTGGGCCATCTCTTAAGTGATCTCTTAAGAGAACTTCTTGCAAACCTACTCTCCCATGGGGAAGAACTGTTGACAAATCTTTACTAGAGGGACAAGCAAGCCGTAGAACCGTTCCAAGGCACTGAGGAAGCACTTAGGTTGGGAGCATTTCCTCAGAAGACCATGTGGGATTCTCTAACATCCCTGCATGATCAACTGAGGCTGAGGGTGGGCAGATCTTCTGAAAAAAAATGTCCGAAGAGCAAAAGTATACTTTCTTCAGGGTACATTACAACTGTTATCAGATAGGATATTGTTTTGGCTTTTCCATGATGACTCAACAGGCTCTGTCGCAGTAAAACCTCAGTAGAGAGGAATTCTCTCAGTTGAGAGGGTAAAAGTCACCCATGGAGCTTGAAAAAAATGCAGTTTCCTATGCACTGCTACCTGAGAGGCTGATTCAGTAGGACTGGGGGTGGGGGCCCAGGCTCTGCACGGTAACATGCATCTCAGGTGACTCCACTGACAGAGGTATTTGGGTGACACTTGGAGGCTCCCAGGCCAGCTAGGTAGTGAGTTCTCCTGGTGTGTCTGGCATATCCTGGTGTTTTCCACTTTCAGTCAGTCATTCAGTGTGTGTGAGTGTAACGTGACTGTGTGTAAAGAGCCGGAACAGAGCCCTGTGTGTGTGAAGATATCCAAGGGAATAACCGCAGAGCTGGTGGGTAAACTCAGTGCTCAGGCATGCTGGGAATCTCATCAGCTGCCTTCAGTCATGAGAGCCCACTGAGTGCTCCTCGTGACAGCTTCTTTCAGCAAAGGGTGATACGACGGCAGGAAAAGCACTGGCCCTCGAGATGGGAGACCTGGGTCTGGCCCAAATTCTAGCACTCAGTTGCTGGGTATCTTGGGCCAGCCGCTTTGAAAGCTGGCTCTGCCACTTTACCTGTTTTGCAACCTTAGGCATTTTACCAGTCTAAAGTGCTGGGATGTCGGCTGTGAAATGAACATCATACCTACCTCAGAGGATTGTTATGAAGGTGGACTAAAAGCCTCTATGCAGGGGCTTGGCACAAACTGGTGTTCAGTGAATGGTACAGTGGCCGCTAAGCTGCTGGTGATGGGGATGAATTGCAGTAGGTTTCAAGGTCATGCTCTAGAAAGTGGGGAGACTGGCCTGCATAATTAGGTCAGCATTTGATCCAGTACCGTCATCTCACGTTTCTCTCTGTCCTCTTTGGAGATGGACAGGCTTCATGCCTCTGTGGCCCTGAGATGGAGGTGGTCCAGTAGGTGGTACTGGGCAAAGGTCTCTTCAGGAGAAGCCTGTTAGACCTTATTTTCACCTGCAGCTACTCAATCTCTTATAGTCACTCCGCTCTGCAGAGCCTTTCTTTAGCAAGTCACAGATAAAAGGCTTGGCACTTTCTACTTTGATGTTGCTCATGCTGTGAAGTGTAAAATCAGCCAGAGGTTAGTTAATTGACAATGTTATGCAGGAAGAGCAGAGCCCCAGGCCCTGGAAACAGTTGAGTAATGCTTCACACGGGCCACTGGCCACAGGGCCCAAAAGGCTGGCGTAGCCTCGGGGTTGCATCCTGCTGCTGAGGCTCAGAGCCGTCTCAGTGATGCTGCAGCTTCGCGCCAGGTTTGGCTAGACACTTCTCCCCAGGGCTGAGCCCCCTATGCTACTTTTTTTAGTAACCCATGCCCAGCCCACCGAGAGGTACTTATTAAATACCTACAGAGCGCTTGACTCCAAATGTCAGCAGGCCTCTGACTTGGCAGTCAGGCCTGCTGGAGAGGTCACATCTCTAATCTCTGCCTCCCAAGGGCTCTGCCCTCAGCTCCATTACCAGATGCCTCTTCCAGGTCACTCAGGTGAGACTAGAGTAAGTAGCAAGCACTGACCCATCTAGTCCGATCATTGGTGACCTGCACTGGATGCCTGGAGCAAATGGAAGCCTGATAGCAGCTTGTCTGGCTGAGCATAAACATGGGACTTGTGTCCTACTAGCTGGGCTGGACTCTGGCATCCCTATGTGATAGTTATCACCTCAGAGACCTCTCAATCCCATGAGACCCACTTCCATTCACACAGAATACGCCAGCTCTAAGACCTCAGGGGCTGCTTTCCAAGCTCTCGCCTTCACTTCATTACCTTCTCTCCATCCCAACCAAAACCTGCTCTGTGGAAAGCTGCGGATCCCCTCATCCTCCCTAGAGTGTCAATGACCTACAAGAGGTTAAAGTAACATTTTGCCACAAATCCCCTTATTTGTAAATAGTTATTTTTAAAGACGATATTAAATGGCTCATTCATTTTGCAGAGAGACTGGTATTATGGGGGAGAGGATGTGTATTTGTAATCAGCCATAACTCATTTATTTATTTTTTATTCATTTGTTTGGCCATCCATACAACTGTCCATTCATCCATCCATCCATTCATGGATCTTCAGGAAATACATCTTGAAACACCTAAGTGCCTGACCCTTTCTAGGCACTGAGGACACAAATTAAAAAACAAACAAGCCAAAAACTAAACAACTCCTCCGGGAGCTCTTTTTTCTATTTCTAGAAGAGGCAGGCAGGTGAGCACACTGCTGATTACCACCACAGGGCTGCCTGTGAGAGAAGGCAGGATGGGCTGCCATCATACTGGGGGGAAATGATGCTGAGTCTAGGAACATGAGTATGTTATTCAGGGCAGGAATGGAGAGGAGATGGGCAAGGAGTTGGGGGACACAAACACAACTGAGATAGACTCAAGTTCAAAGTCCAGCCTGTCTTGTGCTATCTCTGTATGACCATCAGCAAGGCACTTAACCTCTGCCTTTATTTCCTCATCTGTGAAATGGGGATGGTAAGTGGTGCCTACCTTACAGGGTTGCTGTGAGAATCAAATAAGCTAATAATGCGTGTGGAATGTCCAGCATTACACCCAGCTTGGAGTAGTTAAGTCAATGCTAATTTCCATTTCCTTCTTGATAGTTGGAGAAAATGATTCAAACCAGCCCTGGTGAAAAGATAATTCAGTCTCAGTAAATATATTGTCCACATAAGGGCCAGTTGCTGCTGCACCTCTTGCACCAGGCACTTGTGTACTTGTGCGCAGGCCAGTTAGCACGGCTCCTGTTGGCACATACCTGAGAGGCTCCTAGAGGAGGTGCTGTCCCTGGACATGAGTGTAGGAGGCCTGGGGGTGCCTGGTGTGGCATGGGGTGGGAAATGACTTGGGGGCCAGGAGCTGCTGCTCTGGGCGGGCAAAGCCCCATTGGAGAGAGAACATTTCATCACACTGTGAAACAAGGCTTCTGTACCAACATGGATTTGTCTACCTCTTGGCCAGGGCCATGGGGCTTGGCCTTCTGACGGTGATCCTGGGAGTTTTACTGCTCATCGGCTGCTGGTATTGTAGAAGACGAAGTGGATACAGAATCTTGAAGGTTGGTCAAGTTTCCACTGCTGGCATCCTTCCAGATCCAGGACCCCGTCTCCCCTTTTCTCTGAACTTCTGGGGAGTGGGGTAACACTCTCATGATCCCCTCTAGCTCTGGTTCCTGGTTCTGATGAGCCCTTCTCTACAGTGCACTTCTCGCAACTCCTTGGCTTCTACCCAGGCATGAACCCCACCAGGAACTTGGCCCCTCTTTGGTTCCACTCATAGCAAACCTGAGTGCCTGACTCTGTGTGTAGCGGAACAGGGATAGTTTGTGGGGTGCAGGGGAAGGGTTCATGGTCATGTTCTCTTGCTCAGCAAACAGCAGCATGCGAGGCGCTCCAGGTCCTATCAATCCTTCTGGGGATTCTCACTGTCTCCACTACTCTACTCAATGGCCCGTTTCTCTCTCTGTGCCTCTTCACTCCTTTTCTCTCAGGCTGCCTGGGAATTCCAGGTTCTTCTAATTTTGTTACACCAAGCAACCCAGCATACCTAGGACCCATCTAGCCACCAATGCAGTGAGGAAATCATGCACTCCTGAGCAGCACAAAGGACCAGGGTTTTTTTTGTTTGTTTCTTTTTTTTTGTTTTTGTTTTTAAAGATTTTTATTGGGGAATTGGGGAAGGGGAACAGTGCTGGGGAATCGGGCGAAGGGGAACAGACAAGTTGCTGTTGGTTTGTTCTACAGTCTAGTTGTGGAGGATGTTGCCTCGCTGGCCCAAGTTGGCACCATCATTGCGCTCTTCCCAGGCGAGGCAGATCAGTCACCGGCCTCTGGATGGCTGCTCACGGCAGCTGCTGGCCACTCACGCTGGCTGCTGGCTACATACGGTAGCCCATGGCAACCCACTGCAGCAGGGGACTGCAGCCTACACCGTCGCCGGCGACCCATGGCAGCCCAGCTCCAGGTCGAGCTGTTGTTCAGCATCTTAGCTGTAGAGGGCAGTGTCACTGGCCCTCATATGTGGGATCCAAACAGGGGCCCTCTGACGTCCCAAGCCAGCTCTTAACCAACGCGCCACTCGGCCGGCCCAAGGACCAGGTTTTTAACAGGCTCCATCTTCCTCTGATGGCCATTGTGGTTTTAATAGGATTTTCCCCTTCTTTACCTATATAAACAGGAAGCTAACAAATGACATAGTCCAGTCTTGGGGCAGCAGGATCTTCCACAAATGGGAAACTGAGTCTCTAAACTATAAAACCTACAGATTTCAGAAACCTCGCTTCAAAACCAGGTAGCACTTAAGAATCAATCCAAAGGCATTTCTCTCTCTCTCTCTCTCTCTCTCTCTCTCTCTCTCTCTCTCTCTCTCCTCTCCCTCCCTCCCTCCCTCCTGTCTTTCTTGTTTTTATAGATCTGAAAGCTACTAAGGTTGACATGTAATGGAAAAATAATCACCTTTACAAAAGATGTTGGAAAAGTCCCATTCCTCATTCAGCAAGTACTTCATTCAGAAGAAAATAAGAGGAATGTGAGAGCTGTAGCTTCAAATTCTTCTCCTGGCCAGGAAGCTTGGGCAGTACCATGTGTCCCTTTTCCTAATGTCCATCCTGCCAGAATGTCCCAAATATAAACCATAAAAGAGCTGCCACACCCACCGAGCAGCAGCCCTCCAGTGTGTTGACATTCAGTGGGAAGGAGAAGTCCTGAGTCTGAATAAAGAATCCAAACCAAGTACCACAGGAAAGCCTTGGGTTAGGAGCTTAGGGATGGGACACCTGCTCATATGACACTTCTCTGTGCTGGCTGTCCACAACAGGTTAGAGAGGGACTTTGCTGTTTGCCTCAGAACACCATTTGTACCTCTACCACGGGTTTATGACATTGCCTTGTCATTGGCTATTTGATTTTTGCCTCTTCACCCCTTCTCTCTCCCTCATTTATGAACTGGAACAGAGACTATTTCTTACTCATCTTTGTACCTCCAGTGTCCAGCACAGTGCCTGGCATACAGCTGTCACCCAATGGTATGCAATCAGGATTTGGCTTCACTGTCTGCCATCGACTTGCTTCATGACCTTAGATTTTAACCTGTCTGAGCCTCCTTTTCTCTGTTCTATACCTAGACATATGTGATATACAAGGTCTGACAGTTAAGTTCGTAAACTTGTTGCAACGATGTTGTTAACCGTTTTTGATATGAGAGAGATTATTCATTATGAATTTGTACCAACTGGACAAACAGTTAACCAAGTTTACTATTTGGAAGTGCTGAAAAGGCTGTGTGAACAAGTTAGATGACCTGAATTTTTCGTCAACAATTCATGGCTCTTGCATCAAAACAATGCCCCAGCTCAAACAGCACTGTCTATGAGGGAGTTTTTAGCCAGTAAACAAATAACTGTGTTGGAACACTCTCCCTAATCACCTGATCTGGCCCCCAATGACTTCTTCCTTTACCTGAAGATAAAGGACATATTGAAAAGAAGACACTTTGAAGGTGAGTGCAGTGATATTCAGCAATGAGATATGTAGCACTTTTTTTAGGATGAGTTCGTGACATTAATTGTCAGACCTCGTAATATGATATATATCAGCTTTTATTGAACAATTTTTCTATATAGTTTTTAATTTCATTCTATGTTTATATGTAAAAAACCACAATGATTTATTTTTTCAAGGAGTGAAAGTTCTTCAGACTCATTATGCTAGTACCAATTTCCTGCTGTCTCACAATTGCTGGCTTGATGCTACTAGACCAGCGGTTCTCAACCTTCCTAATGCCGCGACCCCTTAATACAGTTCCTCATGTTGTGGAGACCCCCAACAATAAAATTATTTTCGTTGCTACTCTATAACTGTAATTTTGCTACTGTTAATATCTTTTTGTTTTCCAATGGTCTTAGGCGCGACCCTTGTGAAAGGGTTGTTCGACCCCCAAAGGGGTCGCGACCCACAGCTTGAGAACCACTGTACTAGACGAAAAAACAATGATTTTTTTCCTTTCTGCTTCAACACTCTCATCTTAAACTCATTCAGTTTAAAAATAACCAAGAGCCTTAACCTCATGGGCTCAGATACTGTGAACATTTTACTTGGTAAGGTTCAAGTTCAACCTACCATGCCTCCATTTCTCTGGATCTAGAACAGTGATTTGCAGAGTTTCTGGAATTTTTATGAGATAGTACTGTGTTTTTATTCCCTGGTTCCCCTATTGTCTAAATAAATGCTGTCATTTATTTTTTAAATTAATATTAAAATCTTGTTTTGAGGCTTTCATATCTTCTGAAATGCCAGATTGGGGATCAGCAGTCTAAGAAATGTAGGCAAAATTATGTAAAATAGTGCATTAAGTACTGCATTTAATTACATAATTACCTCCCTGTCGCTCTTTGGTGATTCTATTTTCATTTTAAAACAGAACATAAATGACAATAAATGCAAGCTCCAGGGACCTGAGTTACTTTACCTTTATCAACCTTCATTAAGCTTTGAAATGTCTGCTTTCCCACTTTCACTGACCACAGAACAGTAGCAAGATTGGTTGGAATTAAGATCTCCTAAAATTTCTCCCTTGGCTAATAATTCCCCTTAGACCTGAAAAACATCTTTCGAAAGGAAAAACTGCTTTCTGCAGGAACCTCCGTTTTCTGTAGGAAAATGATTTGTAAGGCACTGGAAGTTGGTTTTTGTATTTACCAATTTTACTCATTCACTTGGAAATTTAGAACATAATACTTTTGATTCTTGGAGAAAATTTTTGAGGCCCCTGCTGACAGCTCAGTTCACACGCATGTCTCATGGTGTTCTGTTTCTCAGTGCATGGTCAGGGGCCCCTGAACTTGAATCACCTGGAGCTCTTGCTAAAATGGCAGATTCTGGGACTGGCTCTGGTGGTGAGACCCAAGAACCTGCATTTTAACATGCACACTGACCTTGAATGCAAATGCAGAGAGCTGGCAGTGAACTGGAGGAGTGGATCATGCTCCCATCCTATGGCAGGTGAGAGATTAAGAAAAAAAAAAAAAGAATAAAAGCGATAATTGAGTAAAGAGAAAGAAAACATTAAATACCTTTCCTGAGGTGTACTGCTGGAAGTTGGGGAGGGGAGCAGAACCGCCCGGTGTCCTCATGGCAAGATTAGGGTCCTTGCGGGTATATCCTTCCAGGAGGTAGGATCAATAATTATTTCAGGCCAGAGTCTAGGAAAACTACAGTTTGCAGACCGTGTAGGTATCAGCTCAATCCATGTCTCATTGCATCCAACTGATGTTCCAAACGCTTCTCCTCCCTGGGAAACCTGCCCTGATGCTCTGTTCGTCCTATCTGGTAGATAGACCTCAAACATGAGCCATGGTCTGCAGACAGGCCTGAAGAGCCGCTGATCACCCACACAGCCTCCCTGTCCCAGCCCCCCTCAGCCAGTGCCCCAGAGAGCATGCTGCTGAGGCCCCACTGGATGGATCTGGCTTACAGATATGTTTGGGCCTCTATTTTTAAAAACTGAATTAAGTGCCAACATTTAAAGTAATATTTTATGTTAAAAAAATTTCCATTTCTTGTTTCTTTTCTAAAAAAAAATCAAAGATCTGGGAAAAACTGGCAGCTATACAGTGGTTGTCCCTTTAGATGGGATGTATATACTCTCTCCTTTCCAATGGCCCCCACCCGATCATACTTGGTCCCTTGCATTATTACTTGCCTGGATCCTTTACGTGTCTGAGCATAGCTAAGTTGCCCCAGGTGCAGGCAATATGGAGGTGAGTTGTCTGTGGAGCTGTGGTTTTCTGTGTGGGCCTGACCAGCTGTATCACCTAGTCATTTGTTAGAAATGCCAACCTGTGGGCCTGATCCCAGACCTACTGTGTCAGTAAATCTGGGTGTGAGCCCAGCAATATGTTTAACAGGCCCTCCGGGTGCATGCTAAAGTTTGAAAACCACTGTTGTAGAGAATCGAATAATAATAAAAGCGACTAAAAGTCAGTCTTTTTATTATCATGATATGCCAGCCATTTAAACAATGTCAGTGATGAAATCCTCTACCTCACCAGGGTAGACCGATTCTGCAGTCTCCACTTTGGTTTATGTTTCTGTCTTGTACAAACCGTTGCCATTCTATTCTAGGGATGGAGAGTATCACCCTCTAAACCAGCGGTTCTCAACCTTCCTAATGCCGCGACCCCTTAATACAGTTCCTCATGTTGTGGTGACCCCCAACCATAAAATTATTTTCGTTGCTACTCTATAACTGTAATTTTGCTACTGTTATGAATCATAATGTAAGTATATTTTTGTTTTCCAATGTCTTAGGCGACCCCTGTGAAAAGGTCGTTCGACCCCCAAAGGGGTCTCGACCCACAGGTTGAGAACCGCTGCTCTAAACCTATTCAAAGCACTAAACTTTTACCTACCTTCCCCCCAATAACTCAGGGTACATAACTTAACCTTAGACTGACAGGTCATGATTGTTGCAACTTGACTTGGAAGCTCAGGGCTACAATCCCAGCATTTCTATCACGTCATGTGCATTCGTAGTGTTTAAGGTATTTTGCTGTTATTATGGGGAAGGCAGAAATTGACAGTGTGTCCCTGTCAAGTTGTCACATGCTTATCCTCACTTTGATACCAGCTCCTGTCTCACTAGCTCTGATCTACTCCACTTACAATCATTCTCTGAGGTTCACTTTTTGTATTCACTCTTTTCCCCTTCCCTTTAAAAATATGCATTGACTGATGGGAGTCAGGCACTGTACTAGGTCTTTAACCTTTAGCTAATTCCCACAACTCTGACAGGTAGGTGCTATTATCTTCATATTACAGATGCAAAAACGAATTCAGAGAGGACACACAGCAAGTAAGTGGCAGAACCAAGATTAAGACCCATTCTTAAAACTTCGGCTTCTTCCTCTTTTCTTTAATGGACTCAATTATTTCTTCTTACCCACTGACCTTCATGAATTCACATGTCAGGACAAAAGCCTTTATGCTGGTACTGAAAGTACTTTAATTGGAAGATGTCCACGTGTGGGGCTTGGTCACCCAGCCAGCAAACTGCCTTTTCAAGAAAACAATTGTGAACCTGTAGTAGGTTGAGATCCTGCATCTTGGTGTTTTCATGCATGGCTGCTTTTAATACAAATGAATCAATTATTTCCATTTAAAAAACAAAGAATGTGAATATATTTAATGTTACTAAATTGTATCCCTTAAATGGTTAAAATGGTAAATTTTATGTCATGTACATTTTACCATAATAAAAAAATAAATAATAACAAAGGTAAAAAACAAGGGAAAAATAGACATTTCCTTAAATTGTGACCTCTCTCACCCAGATTTTCCAGGGTCAATAATGAGAGCCCTACATGGAAAAACTCGGTTCAGGATACAATATCCTTTTGGCTTATGTTTTTAGTGTATTTGCCTATATCCTAAACATAGATTTATCTAAGAGAGAGAAAGAAAAGGACCTATTATTAATTGTATAGAGCTGTGCTGTCCAAGAGGGTAGCCACTAGCCATGTGTGTCTACTCAGCACTTGAAACATGGTAGTTTGAATTAAGGTGTCCTGTACTACATTACCAGATTTCAAAGACTGAGTATGAGTTCAATAATATAATTTATTGATGAGTTTTATATTGATTACATGTTGAAATGATAAAACTTTTGGTATGTGGGGTTAAATAAAATATATTATTAGGATTACTTTTACCTGTTTCTTTTTATTTTTTGAATGTGGCTACTAGAAATTTTACAGTCACATATGTGGGGCACTGTTTCTGTGGCATAGCGCTGGTGTAGGTGTTATCACAGTGTGTCACAGTGTATCACAGTGGTTGAGAGCATTGACTCTGGAACCAAATTACTGTGCTTGTTCTTAGCGCCACAACTTATTGTGTGACATTGGGCAAGTGACTTAACCTCCTGTGCCTCAGTTTCCCAACATGTAATATGAAAACAATGAAAATACTCCTAGGATTATTGTGAGCATTAAGTGAAGGCCTGCCCCATTTGTGCTCTGTTGATAGCGCGATGGCCTTTAGACACAGCTACAAGGATTTATCTATGTGGTAAAGAAGCAATATATATTAGTGTGTGTAAACAGGGTTCAGGGATTCATTAGTTAGGGCTTGGGGCCTCTACTGACAAGGATAATCCAGGTATAGATACATTTTTGAGATTTTGGGAAGCCCCTTATCCCTGTTTTTCTCTACTCTTCCTCCCAACAATATTTCAACATATTGTGAAATTTAACAATGATTATCTCATTGAGTGGAAATTAGATGTGGATATTTAAGTTTCAGTCCAGAGCAAAAGTATAAATATGATGCTGTTTTGACTTAATCACTTGCCCAGAAACATACGCACTGTTGCCAAGCCCATACTCTTCCTTTCTTTCTCATTCTCACAGGTTCCCAACGCTCCACCCGCCTATGAGAAACTCTCTGCAGAACTGTCACCACCACCTTATTTGCCGTGAGAACCAGCAAGGCCCCTGAAAGATGCTGAAATAATTTCCCTCACACTTTTGCTTAAATTTAATATGGACATTTAATGTTCTGCCTCAGAATGCTGTAGAAACAGTGTACATCATCTCTAATAATAAACTTAGTTTTAAATTCTCAGTAGGGCAACTAGCAATACTAATTGAGGAAATGATGAACAATATTAAATTGGAAAAACTTTGTCAATAAACATTGTAAGGCATTATGCTATCTGTGCCAGCAGTAATGTTATTATAATAAACCCACGGTGTTATTTTCTGAGGGATAGGATTCAAATGTGTGTCTGGGACCATTTAATTTCTTTTTAGTTGAAATTTGGCTAATGACTAACAACTACTATCCTGATAGTTGAAGAAGAAACCTCTTGACCAAACTGAACTCTAAGAGAATTGTGATAGGTGAGTTTGTGCTATGGAATATTCACAAAGGATACCTTTCCAGGTTTCAGACCAAGAACTGACTGACCTACCAAATTATTGGGTCGTCGGGAAAGTCATGATGCATTTTTGCATTGAAAAACATAGAAAAATACATCATGACTTTCCCGACGACCCAATATATGGTCAGATTCATCTAATCAGGAAAGGGTCAACAGTGTCCCTTTGTGGTCTAAAATTCCATGATTCTACAATAATATACTGCAGAGATCCTGTATCTTAATACATATAATGCAGTCCTAATGACATTTCATTTCAGGGCTCAATGCTATCTAATTAATCATAAGAATTTTTTGTTAAACAAGAAGGTGGTGTCCAAATTTAAATAAGTAAAAGCTACTGTAATTTGACTGATGTCTTGCCTTAAATGTCCCAATGACAATGTAGTTCCTTTGGGCTCCCAAATCCCTCTCAAAAGAACATATAGAAGAAATGATGAACAATCAGAGATTCTGAAATAGTATCATTATTTGCATAGTGACATTAAAATCTATTTTGTTGACATCTACATACATATCGCCTATACTACTATTTATCTCATATTTTCTTTCAATCAGCTCAAACATTTTTTTTGGCTTAAATTTACATCACTACCCTAAATAGGAAATCAGTATCATTTTCCATAAGTAGAGGACGACTATAAAAATGAAGATAATGAAAGCAAATTATTTTTATTAAAACCTAGGAAGATACTGATGAATGCAGATGGCTGTCAACTTGAGACTACTCTCTTTATTAAAGGGAGATTAGCAAGAGTCAGAGAAAAGCTTTTAATATAATTAAAAGGCTTGCAAGAGAACGAAATGACTTTCTCACTATGTGACTCAGTGTTATCTAATGCTGAGTCAGTAAACCACCTAAAATCATCTTGTTATTGGAAATGCCAGTGTAGCATAACTGCATCATTTTCTACAAAAGACAAGATTGCACTGCAGAGAAAAAACACTGAATAAAGAGACTTATTACACACATTGAAAAAAGTGTCATTCAACAAAATACTAAAATACCCCCTGCCCTTTCTGATTCTGTCCAGTCTTATCACTAAAAATTAGCGTGTCCCTGCCATTTCAAACAATTACATGAATTCTAAACAAAGTAAACTCCATCAGGCATTTGGCCAGCTCTTCTCATTCCAAGGCTAGTCTGAGCTTTAATCCTCCACATTTATAGAATAACCTGTCGCGTGCGCGCTGGACTCCTCGAAGATCCCCAGACCATCATTCGCTGAGAGTTCTCTCCTTTCCCTCTGGACATAGGAGTCCTCCACTGCAGCCTGTCCCACCATAAGGCCCTGCCACACTCGTGGGCCGGGAATGGGTAATGGCGTGGCACTGCTTTGATCTCCTAGGTTTCCTGCAGGATCAGGTCAGGACTAGAGTGGTCAGAACTCACGGCTGGTCTCCTCTGGCTGCAAACATTGTTTTCTACTTGCCCAAATGCACTGGACAAATAATATCACTTTCTATTTTTGCAGTGAGCAGAGCCAAGTAAGAGAGCTCTGTTTTATAAAACCTGGTCTTCCTTCCTCTTCCTGCTCCCCACCAGCCCTCAGACGTTGTCTGAAGCTTAATTCAAAGCCACGTCTCTATGGATTTCCCTAGGAGACTGATATGGATGCTCTCATTGTTTTTAAAGTAAAGAGCAGGCATATTTTAAAGATGGAAAAAGAGCTAGCCTAAAGATTCTCTGCCTGGGTTAAAGTTCAGTGAGGAGATTCTAGACTGATTACACAAACCAGTGAAGCCCTCAAGTCACCTCCAGTGGAGACTAGTCCTTTGAAGGGACAAACACTGGGTTTGGCAGCACTTATACATATCTGGACAGGCCCACTCATCACTTGAGAATATTGCAGAACTTTTCCAAACAGAAAAGAAATAAGCAAGCCCCTGCACTTATATTTCATGGCTTGACTTTCAGGACTGGGACAGTCATTCTAAAACACATCAAAATCCCTCCATCTCAAGTGACTGATGACAAAACATCTTAAAAGCATCTTAGAAGAATGCAGAACAACTTCAGAGGGAAATCCTGGGTAGTTTGGATGAAAACACTCATTTTTAAGAAAGCCTAAAACTCCTATCCCAAGAAGCTGTGGGATGGAAGTGTGGAAAATGAAGGAACAGAAAAAAATGCTTGACCACTTGAAAACATGAATGAAAGAAGGCTCTAAATGAAAAAGGGAACCCGTTAAAAAAAATCTCTGAAACTGTGGGCCAGCCGAGTGGCTCAATTGGTTAAGAGTTGGCTTAAGAGCGCAAGCTCTAAGCAACAGAGCTGCCGTTCAAATCCCACATGGGCCAGTGATGCTGCACCTGAGCTGAGTTGTCACTGAGCTGCCAACAGGTGGCAGGAAGGCTCAGCTGGTGAAACAAGATTGCCTGTTCAATGGTGGGCTATGCCCACCCACAACTAAGACTGAACTCACTACCTTGAGCAAAGCTGCCGCCGGGATGGCTCAGTGGATCGAGCGTGCACTCTTAACAACAAGGCTGCCGGGTTTGACTCCCACACAGGATGGTGGCTATGCCCATTCGCAACTAAGATTGAAAACAGCACCTTGAGCTTAGAGGCCACGAGCTGCCCACAGGAAGCCAGATGGTGACTGATGCCCTCCACAATGAAGATTGAAGAACAACAACTTGGCTGGTCCCCCTCCTCAATTCCCCAACGCTGTTCCCCTCCCCCAAACCCTCAATTAAAAAAAAATCTCTGAAACTGTACTAAAGGTAAGTCTGCCTGCTTTCTTCAGAAAAGACTGCATGAATGACGGCAACTTGAAATCAGACAAAGAGAAAATAAAATTGAGAACCCCTTTACTATTAATCAGAAGTCAATTTGAAGAAATATATTGATCCTGTTAAGTGTTTCCTTAAAGATGCTTGAAGGAGAAAAACAAGGACTATTTAAAAAGTTAAGTGAAGAAGATTAAATGAACAAATCACTTACAGTTGAAATGAACGGTCTCCAAATTGAACAAACATCTGAAAACAGTTTGAAAGTGAGATTCAAAAGTTTAGCTACAACTTCGGCTACTGGCTGAACTACGTCAAGAGCATGTAATGCAAATTTGCAGAAAATCAATTGCAGAATTTACTGCTTAGGAATCTAGAAGAAACTTCTAAGTGTATGAAAATATTAGCCATATGCCTCACAAGTATGACTCCTACCCCAAGATGGCCTTGAGAAAAAGCTGGAAACTCTTTTTGATAAGGCGGATTGTCTCCCATGAGAAAAAAAAAATGCAAGGAAGTTGGTTGGCAGCCGCCTAGCTGAGAGAAAGCTCCTGGAGCCAAAAAAAGAAAATAATCACAACAGACAAAAATTGGCTGAAGAAGTTTAAATGCCAGCTTTTCCCTGGGCAGAGGCTGGGGAGTACCAGGGCGCTCCCTGAATCATCAGGACCCTCAGGAAGGAGGAGGGTTAAGCTGTGAGGGGTCAGGAATCTGGGTCACCTGCAAGTTTGATTCAGGTTTATATAGCAGCAACTCCTAAATATCCATAGCAGCACGTGTTTTCTCTTAAAAAATAATTTAGATCAATTTTTTTTCCTGTTTACTGGTTTTACTTATTTGATGCTACACTTGCTCGAATTGAAGTTTGATGAGATTATTCCTAAAACAGCGCTGTATCTAGATGGTTTTATTAAATTCTTATGGAGATTAGACCATTTCATCAGACTTTCTAGAATTAGATCCATATTATATTTAGATAGAACTAAACAGCCACTATTATAAAAGCCATAAATGAATTTTTGTATCAGGGAGACATTTAAATCAATAAAGACCATTTGTATATGCTATAAACTATTAGAAGAAATCTGTAAAAACTTAAAAAATATGAAACAAGAACTCCACCAAAACCCAAACTGCATAAAACACCACTCCCAACTAAACCTATTAGTATTTTTATTAGTTTAGCATTAAATTAATAGATTTAGGGGAGATTAGCACTGCTTATAACATTCTTTGCTGTTTAAACGTTTCTAAATTTTATGCAGTCAAAACTTTCCCTTAAAAAAAAAACCCTTTCTCTATCCTCTCAATCTGAACACAGGCAGGCATACCTCATGGATATTGCGGGTTCAGGTCCAGACCATTACAATAAAGAGAGTACTAATCTTTTTGCTGGTGGAAGGCATGGCCTCCAATTTGTAAGAAAATGAAACATCTGTGAAGCATGATAAAACGTTAAGCTTGTAGGTTTTTTTTTTTCTCTCTCTCTCTCTACTTCTCCCATTACTGCCAGATAACAGGTCTTCACACCATCTACTAACTTCCTAATGGCCTCCCAACAGCAGTTACTATTTATTATGTGGCAGGCATTGGACCAAGCATTTTACATAAATTATCTCATCTAATCCTCACAGCAATCCTGCAAAGTAATTATCTTCATTTTACATGTAAATGTTACAACCCATGCTTCAAAAGCTTCAGTAGCTCCCCAATTACTTTTAGAATAATTTTAGTCCTCTATCACCCAACCCAGCCTATTTTTTAAATCATTGGTGCACTTGACCCATATTCCACTTAAACTCAATTGCTCTAGTCCCTATATGCTCTTTCCTTTTTTTTTTTAATGATAAAACTGACACATACCGTTGTGTTTGTTTTAGGCTTAAGACATGATTTAACATATGTATACTAGTATATTGTGAAATCATTACCACAGTTAAGATCCACTGCCAGTTAGTTTTCTTGTGATGAGAACTTTTAAGGTTTACTGTTAACAGCTTTCAAATATACAATACAATGTTAACTTCCTTGTGCTT